GCGCGCGCGGCGCGACAGAGGGCGACGCGACGGCGGCGCGCGCGACCACGCCCGAGGCTCGCGCGACGCGACGACGGGAGCGACGGATACATCGCGCTCGCGCCCGGTCCGTCGTCGACGTCGAGGCGAGGACGATCGGCACCGCGCTCGGACGGACGTGGACGTGGACGGTTCGACGATTGATTTCGACGTGGCTGGACCGCGCGCGCATCGCTTGGTCGTCGACGGGTGGTGTGCGCGCGGACGGACGCGCGGGAGGGTGCGAACGCGCGGTGGACGGTGAGGAAGATGTATAAGGCGGTGACGTCGAGCGTGCCCGAGGGGCAGGCGAACGCGGAGACGAACGCGAGCGAGCTCGGAACGTCACCGAGCTGGAGGTGCGAAGAAAACCCCGCGCGGCGATCGTTCGATCGCGTTCGGAGCCGATGTCGCGCGCGCGCGAGGGGATGCGCGCGCGTGAGGGGATGGAGATGTGTGAAGAATAAATTCATCTTCGCGCGTGACGACTCGTGAGGGCGTGAGGGGGGGCACGGCGGCGTCGGCGACGCGTTCGGGAGCGCTGGAAGCGACGAGACGTCGACAGCTGGAGCGCGCTTTCGGCGGTGATGGCGAACGACGCGAGCGTTCTCGGGGGATGAAAACTCGATCGAAGACTGACAAAACACGCTCGCATCTTTTCGCTCCGCGCGTAGAGATTACGAGAGCACCTTTTCGAGGTTACTGCAGGACAACGGGCGCGCCGCGGCTGAGGGCGCCGAGGACCTCGTGCGCAGCGCGTCGGCGGTGGATTTGTCGTACGGTAAGGGTGACACGGACAGCGCGCACAACTCGGGGCACTTTGGATACGCCTCGCATCAGGGTAAGAGCGGGTTCTTCGGCGCGTCGCGCGACGACGGCGCACTCGGAGCCGGGCGACACGGGCGCTCGAGCTCATCGGCGGAGAACGGCGGGTTGTACCAAGACAGCGCCTTCGGTCTTCCGAGCGACTTGAACGGTACGCATATCGTTGGTGGTGATTTGCAAGGCACGGCGGACGTCGTAAGCGCCTTCTCGAGCTTCGGCTTGGGTACGGATGTTCCGTTACGACCATCTACTGCGCCGCTACCGCCGCACGACGGCGGCAACTTTGCCGCTCCTCGTCAAGGCAACTTTGCGAACATGGCTTCGCGTTTCGGCGCCGAGGTCAGTTCGCAGCAGGCGTCTGCGCAGATGCCGGGTGGGGTGAACGCGTTCGGGGTCGGAAATATGGGAGTTGGCATGGACAACCCTGCCATGCTTCAGCTTCAGTTGCAGCAACTGCAACAGTTGCAACAGCTTCAGGGCATGCAATCTATGCCGGGTGTGGACGCATTCGGTGCGGCGGGTGCCGCATCGGCTATGCCGAACGGCATGCCGATGCAACAACCAGACATGTCGCGGCTTCTGAACTTTAACGCCGCTGGCATGCCAAACGGTGGTACGGGTTACGGAGTGAACGGTCAACCGCAGTCCATGGCCGAGGTCTACCAGGCTGCGTACGCCGCCGCGTTCTACGCGCAACAGCAACAATTACAGAGCTTGATGCGCATGCAGCAGCAAGTTCCGGGTCTCATGCAGCAGAACTTGACCGCAGCGCAGCTTCAGCAGCTCGGTATGGACGGCGGCATGAACGGTAACGAGAACGGGATGTACGGACGAATGAATGGTCGAGATGACCGTTCTCGCGTCGGTAGAACGATGGGACGAAACCGTTCGGGTGATCGAGGTGATCGAAACGGCGGTGGATCTCAGTCGCTGTCAGGTTCTGTCGCGCGCTCTGACTCGCCGCCATCGGACGCTGAAATCGCGGAAATGGACAACCGTTTCGTCTCCGTTGAGAACTGCGTTGGACAAATCTCTGTTCTCGCACGCGATCAGCACGGCTGCCGATTCTTACAACGCAAGTTTGACGAAGAAGGCTCCAAGGCTGTCGATCTCTGCTACGATGAAATCATCGCCGAAGCTGTCGAACTCATGATGGATCCGTTTGGGAACTATCTGGTTCAAAAGTTGATTGAATGCTGCAGCGATGAACAACGTTCTGGGGTGTTGCGCGCGGTCTCTGTCGTGAAGGCTGATAATCCGGATGGTCTGCCCGAACTCGTCACTATCGCTTTGAACACGCACGGTACTCGCGCGGTTCAAAAGTTGATTGAGATGCTCAACTCTCCGGAAGAAGTTTCTCTCGCGACGACCGCTCTGCGACCTGGTGTCGTTACCTTGATCAAGGACTTGAATGGCAACCACGTAATTCAGCGTTGCCTTCAAAGACTGTCGTGTGACGACAATCAGTTCATCTATGACGCCGCAAAGGTGCACTGCGTGGAGATTGCAACTCACCGACATGGTTGTTGCGTTCTTCAGCGTTGCATCGATCACGCGACTGAGGAACAACGTCGTCCGCTGGTGCACGAAATCGCTTCTCAGGCGCTCGTGCTCTCCCAAGACCCTTTTGGCAACTATGTCGTCCAGTATATTTTGGATCTGGGCTTGTCTTGGGCCAACGGCGAGGTCATGACGCAACTCCTCGGCAACTACGCCGAGCTTAGTATGCAAAAGTTCAGCTCTAACGTCGTGGAGAAGTGCCTCAAGCTTGCCGACGCGTCTCTTGAGAAGAACCGTAACACAGTGGTGCGAGAAATCATGCAGTCACCACTGTTGGATCGTCTTCTCATGGACCCGTATGGTAACTATGTAGTGCAGTCAACGCTCACTGTGACGAAGGGTGTGCTTCACACCGAACTCGTCGAGCGCATCAGACCGCACTTACCGTTGATCAAAAATAGTCCGTTTGGTAAGCGGATTTTACGATTACTCCTGGAGAACAAGAAGTAGATCGAACAATAGAACGCAACAATACGATACACTTCGTTCTCAAGCAGTTTTCGTTAAGTGGGTGAGAGGGTGAAAATTTCTCTTTCTAAAATGAAAGTGAGATCGTGTAAATCATGATATGCAAACAAATGCAAGTCAGGAAGTTAACGCAGCATCATCGAGCGATGTGGGTCGTTTGATTGATGCGAACTGCGGTGTGCAAGAATATACCATAAACTCTTGTGTTATTTCATCAACACGGGACAGGGGCTCGCGTCCACCATATACAACAATTTGGAGGTTATGTAAGATACCATTCATTGCTTCACTACAATCAGCGCTTTTCTCGTTCATCTCGAAGGCCTCGTCGCTGTCTCGCGTCTCACCAGTTTACGCGCGCGCGTTTTCCCTTCTCGTCCAGGGTTGTGACAGTTGCCTACTTTCATCCAGTGCCCGCACTCTTCGCCCATCCCGATGGGTTGCTGCGTCTCCAAGTACGATGATCACGCCACTCCCGAGGAACGTCGAGCGAATGCGCTCGCAGCGGCGGAATCGCGCAGTAAAGCGAACGAGATGCGCGGCATCAAGGTGCGTCGTTCGATCGATTCACTCTGTTTCTGCTCACCCTCGTCGCTCGTCGTGAGACTGACGACCATCGCGATCGTCGCGCGCGCAGACCGCGAGCATGGCGAACAAAGTGCGGGTGAACTCAACCGCGAGACAGAGCGCATCGACGTTGGGTGATCGAAAGGCGGAACAGATGGCGCGCGACTGGGCGAGCTGACCGTGACGGAACGACGCGAACCATACCTGTACTTTAATTAAAAAACTAGACACACTTAGCGAAGAGTCGTCGTCGAACGCGATGTTCGCTCGAACGATTCTGATATCACGCTCACGCCCGTTTCTTGACATCCTTGAAGAGATCTGCGAGCTCACCGCTCTGGTGCATATTCATCATGATGTCGCTTCCACCCACGAACTCGCCCTTGACGTACAGCTGCGGAATCGTCGGCCACGCCGAGAACTCCTTGATTCCGTTCCTAAGCTCATCGCTCGCTAAAACGTTTCTTGACGCGTAATCTACGCCGTGATGATCGAGGATTCGACACGCCATGTTGGAGAATCCGCACTGCGGCGCGCTCGGCGACCCTTTCATGTAAATCAGCACTTCGTTCGCCTTGACGTCACCCTCGATCACGTCCTTGATGTCCCCGGCGTTCACGGAGTTCACCTTGGGCTTGAAGTCATCGTGCGTGTCGTCCGCGGACGACGCGAAGCTCCTGGTTCGCGTGGCGTGACTGGAGACGCGCGCGAGGTGACGGACGGACGACGTCGACGGCGACGTCGAACGCGACTTTGCCAGCGTGGCGGATGGCACGGACGAAGACGCGCGCGCGGAGGCGGCGGAGAGCACGGTGGTGGCTCTATGCGCGATTCTGCGAACGTTCGTGCGCATCGTCGGAAAGTTTGAGGGGGCGAGGAATGATGCGCCATTGTCACCAGAGGGTGCGTCGAGACAGCGTCGCAGTACACTAATTCGCTATTCATATATCCTAAACCCAATGTACTTGAGCCACGACTGCTGCACACGCTCGTCGTACTCGTCTTTTAGCTCCCAGCGCTCGCCGTCGCGGGTGGAGAACATGGTGGGCGTCCACGGCGGGAGCTCACCCGTCTTCATCGCTTTGTGCAGACGACGCTGCCCGCGCTCAGCCTTCTTCTTCGCCTTGGCCGCAGTCTTCATGTCCTTGGCTATCAAGGCCTGAAAGAACTCACCCCACAAGCAGTGACTATCGGTAAATCCATTTAGCGGTCGCGTCATCGCTCTCGGCGGCTCGGCGAGAGGCAAGGCAGGACTCCAGAACAGTCCCAAATGTTCCTTTGTCGCCGATACCTCCGCGATTGTTTCACTGAACTTGCCCTTGAAGTGCGAGTGCGCACCCTTTTCGTTCACGATCGTCCCCTCGACTTTACACGCGTGACTCTTCAGACCGGCGGTGCCGCGCGGTTTAAAGTGCATGTCGCAGCGCAGCTCAGGTCCGTCGCTGACGCGCCTCAGTGAAATGTTCCCAACCGTCTCTGAATAGCTCCCTGTGAGGCCGAAAAACCTTATAAATAATGATGGGAAGTCCATCACGTACTTTTCGCCCGTATGCAAGTTTTCAAATCGCATTTCGCCGCCGATGAGAACTTGAACGGATGTCCCCCTGAACACAGGTTTCGCCTTGACGTCGGCGGAGACGTGCAACCCGATGTCCTCATTTCTCAGATCCCATGTAGTGATGGGCGGGTGATGGCACACTTGCTCGGCTACGTACGCGGTCTTCCCACACTTGATCCGATGCGTCTCGCCCAGAATCGGATTCAACGGCTTCTTCATCGCCGAAAAAGTGTATGGAGACTTGGCCCCGGCACTCGAACCGGCGTCGGTTCGGATAGCTGTCATATCCAGGTAGAACTTCACCAAGCGCGCGATGCGAACCTCCGGATCAGGATGCTTCAGATCGCTCCAATCATTCGTACATGCCTCGATGACGTAAACTACGTCCTCCGCCACCTGGATCGTGCTAAAGGGCACAAAGAACGAAGGTGGCAGCTCGATATCCGTCAAGTCTTGACCAACCTTCAAGTGCTTCGTCATCCCCACCAACTCCTGCGTGGGCTGCCCAGCCTTGATGCGCTCGTGCATCTCCCTCTTCTCTGGCGTCATCGTCCCAAGCCGCTCCAACTCCGCCGCCTCCTCCTCCGCCTGCCGCACCGCCTCCTCGTGCGCTTGTCGCAGCAGGTGTCGCACCTTCGCCTTCATCTCTCTGATCGCCGACGCCGCGTGCATCTGGTGCTCTTCTTGCTCCCAAACCTCCCCCAAGACGAAAGGGAACTCCGTCCCGGGCTTGATGCCCACGTTCTCCATCGTCACCTCGCCGCAATCGTCTCCAACGTTCGCCTCTGCGCCGTCCCAGTGCTCGCGCGCGTCGAACCACAAGTCATCATCTTGCGGTTGAAATCGCGCTTGTATGTTCGCCACGTCGAGACTTCGAGCGCTTCTGAAGCAGCACCAACACGACATCGTCCTCGCGCGTTCGATGCGCCCGCGCGCGCGATCAACCGAGCGTCACGAGCGCCAAAAGACGCGTCGACGGATCGTTCGAGCGTTGATCAACGCGCTCGCGCACCCCTCTCTGGCGTTACGCGCGCGTTCACCTCGGCGCGCGAGCGAATCGATCGAGGAACGCGTCACGGACGTATGCGTGCGGCGCGAATCCCGCGCGCGCGTGTGCGGGGGACGATTGTCGCGTCGTGCGAAACATCGGGACAACAATATACTTTTATGAGTCATGACTCGTGACTCGTCGAGTGTGAGATGAACATCACTCGCGCGCGTCTGGCGCGGCTTCGTACGCGTCGACGGACGATCTGTGCCTCTCCACGCGCTCGCGCTCGCGCTCGAATCCGCGTTCGAGATCATCGATGCGCCGCATTCGTTCGAGCTCGCGTTCGCGGCGCGCGTCGGTCGTCGCCTCCGTCTCGGCGACGCGCGCGTCCGACGCGCGCGCGTCGTCTCTCGCCCGCGTCGCCGTCTCCGCCTCCGCGCGCGCGATCGCCGCTCGCGCCCTCGCGATCTCCCCCATGCGTTCCCTGAGTTCTAACGTCGTCGTTCGCTCCAGTATCTCGAGCTCCAGGGCTCGCCGTTCGGCGTCGCGCACGCGCTTGAGCGTTTTTTGTAATTTTTCAGTCGATGCCTCCACCGCCGCGCGTTGACGCTCGTACGCGCGCTCGATCGACGCCAGCGTCGCCTCCGTGGGCTCCGACGTCGAGTCTCTCGCACCGCTCGCGGGCATTCTTTTCCTCGATCGCTCTCGACGCGTCGCTCGGTGACGAGGCTTTCGAGTCAGCCGTGACGGTTCATCTTTTTCACACTGTGCGCATCGCGGTCGCCTCGACACCGCGCCTCGCTGACGTCCGGAAATCGGCGTTCACGCGCTCGAGGCGCGCTCGAGGCCAAAGGTAGATCGAACGCGACGCGCGACGCCGGGAAATCGGTCGAGACGTCGGAGATGACGATGAGACGAGCGAAAGATGACGGCGAAGCGGTTCGAAATCAAATCAACCTGATCGACGAGACGACGTCGAAGCGATTCTACGTCGACGCCGCGACGCCGTGCGAGGCGAATGGGACGATGGTGATCACGCGCGATGTGATCGACCCCGCGAGGGCGATTCACTTGAGAGATTTGAGCGATCGCGAGGTGGTTTTGGAGGGCGACGCGTCGTGCGCCAAGGCGTTCGTCGAGCGATGCGCGCGGACGAGGTTGGTGATTAAAGGGCGCGTTGTGAGCGAGAGCGTGGAGGTTTGGGGGTGTGAGGGGGTGGAAATAATATGTGAGAGCGCTATCGCGACGACGCAGGTCGATGACGCGACTGAGGTGACGGTGAGACATCCCGCGAGACGCGCGCTCGGAGCCGTCGTGTTCGCCACGAGTCGAGACGTCGGCGTGGCGTTCGATGACGAAGGTGGGGTCGTTCAGCGGTTGGACGACCACGGGCTCGCCCCGGGGGATCACAGAGAGATTCCACAGTTTATATCGCGCATCGTCAACGGTGAAATCATGACCGAGCGATTGATAAGGGGTAAGGACGAGTACCCGACGACGGAGCGCGAGCTCCGAGCCTCGCTCGGAGCCTCGCTCGCAAACGAGCACTTGGATACCGCTCCGGCTCGCGCCGAGCTCAGAAAAGACCGAGGTAACGTCGCATTCAAGGAGGGTAACGTCGCTCAGGCCGCCGTGCACTACACCGAGGCGCTGGACCTCGATCCGTCCCACGTCGTCGCCCTGTGCAACCGCGCGCAGTGCTTTTTAAAGCTCGGCGAGCACGAGAAAGCCCTCGCGGACGCCGAGCGAGCGATCGAGGTGAAATCCGACTACGTCAAGGCCCACTTCCGCAGAGGTCTGGCCTTACACGCCTTGGAGCGCTTCACCGACGCCGTGCACGCGTTCGAACGAGCTTTAGCCCTCGATCCGAAGAACGTCCAAGCCAAGGACGCGCTTCGCGTCGCCGAGTACGCCGTCGTTCGATCACGACGCGAGACCCGCACGTAGTCGCGTCCGCCAACCGTCGCCCTCCTCGACGCATAAAATCCACTGTATCGTTTCCACCCATCCATCCCTCTGTCGACCGTGCGTTCCACGTTCGCTCCGCATCCGCCTCGAACGCGTCCGCGTCCGTCGTCAGCCAAACCCATGGATAAGCTCAAAACCTGGGTCGTCCCGATCGTCCATTTTCACTCGCCGTCGGCACACGCCGACGCGTCGTCCTCGCGCGCGCGGGAGCGGTCGCGCGTCATGCTCCCGTCGTCATCGCTCGCCACCGCGCGCGCCGCGCGCGTCGTCGTCGTTCGCGAGCGCGCGCTCGGGCGCTCGAGCGCCTCGCGTGCGTCGGTGGTGAATCAAAGAGGTCGAGCGACGACGACGCGGACGAGCGTGCGCGCGAGCGCGTCCTTCTCCACCGCGGGGGCGCGGATTTCTGGCACGGGGAAGGCTTTGCCGGAGAAGTACCTGACGAACGACGACCTGTCGAGGCTGGTGGAGACGAATGACGAGTGGATTACGGCTCGGACGGGCATACGGAAGCGACACGTGATAAGCGGCGATGAAACCCTGACGTCGCTGTGCGCGAAGGCGGCGATGCAGGCGCTGGATAGGGCGAACGTGAAGGCGGAGGATGTGGACCTGATCATACTGGCGACGTCGAGTCCGGATGATATCTTTGGAAGCGCGTGCACGGTGCAGGCAGCGATTGGGGCGAAAAAGGCGCTCGCGTTCGATCTCACGGCGGCGTGCAGTGGATTCGTGATTGGGTTGGTGAACGGCGCGCAATACATCCGCGCGGGGGGGTTTAAAAACGTGCTCGTGATCGGGGGCGACGTATTGAGCCGGTACGTGGACTGGCGCGATCGAGGGACGTGTATTTTATTCGGAGACGGCGCTGGGGCGGTGGTGTTGACGGCGACCGACGCGGACGCATGTTCGCTCAAGGGATTCGATATGCACTCCGACGGGAGTCAAAACCATCACTTGATAGCACAATACATGGGGGAGAAGGGTAAGCCCATGAGCGAGGGCGCGTCGAGCTCGGCGTCGTTTTGCAACATCTCCATGAACGGGCAAGACGTCTTCAAGTTTGCCGTGCGAACGGTCCCGATGACGGTGAACAAATCCCTCGAAGCCGCGGGCATGTCCGCCGAAGATATCGATAAGTTAGTCTTACACCAAGCCAATCAGCGCATCATCGACAGTGCTGCGCAGCGATTTGGCTTGACTGAAGACAAGGTAGTTAGCAACATTGCCGAGTATGGCAACACCTCCGCCGGCTCTGTGCCCATCGCGCTCTGCGAAGCTGTTGAGCAGGGCGCCATCAAGACCGACGATGTTATCGCCTTCGCCGGTTTCGGCGCCGGTCTCACCTGGGCCAGCTGCATCTGGAAGTTTTAATAATCGGACGCAATGCACCGACAAATGCGCTTCTTCCTACGCGCGCATCCTCGACTCGCCTCTCCTCACACGATGCCTCAAGACCTCGAGAGGGACAAACAAACGACGCGCAAGCGTCCGCGAGCCTCCAAGCGCGTGATCGAACCCCTCGTCTTCGTTCGAGACTCCATACGCTGGCCGCAATGCGCTGAAAGAGGCGAAAACCATCATCCTTCACCGGCGGCGCATCACTCCAGTCGATGCGTCATCGTCGACGATTTGAGCCATCAAAGCTCGCGGGAAGAGTACGATGTGATAATTTCGAGCGGTTGTGATGTGCTGCGCGTCACCGTCGACCTCACGGCGGACACGTCGACGAGCGTCGAGCGAGGGAAAGAACGCGCGCTGCGACCGGGACGGGTAAGCGGGACGAGCGAGACGACGACGATCGGACGAGCGAGCGCGAGACGAGAGATTCAAGCCTTGAACGCGAGCGATGATGGATTGCGATTATACGCGGTGGATGATCACGGCGTGATGGACTGTTGGACGAGGGATGGGGAGGATGGTGGCGCGTGGCGCGCGACGGCGAGCGGGACAGGATCGAGCGACGTCGCTGGCGTCGGCGGATGGTGCGGGGTGTTTCCATTGGGGGACGACGGACGAGTGGTGGTCGCGAAGAGTGCGAGTCGAACTTTGGACGTGTACGACGGCGATCGAAGGGTTCGCAGGATGAACACGCTGTTGAGGCCGTATGACGCGGCGACGACGGCTTCGGTGGGAGGCGACGGCCGCGTGCTGTGCGTCGCCGAGGGACATCACCTCGCAGTGTACGACGATCGCGTCGCCGAGCGCGGAGGATGCGCGAATAGAATTCCGTTGGGGTACAACAAGCCGCTCTTCGCGGTTTCTGCGTCCAAGGCGCATGGGAAGGAGCACGTCGTCGCCTGCGGCGGGGAGGAGCGCGTCGTTCACGTCCTTGATGTACGAAAGTGGGGATGCACGCAGAGATGGAGAAACGCCGTCAAGTTCGACATTACGCAGATAGAGTTGAGTGCGACCGCTCCGGAGTTCGCCTACGTCGCTGGTCTCGATTACGAGTGCATGTGCGGGGACTGGCAAGCCATGGATGCCTCGGGTGGATTTTCGTTCCGAGCCGACTCGCGTTGGATGGGACTCGCCTCACGCCCCACCGCGAGCGGATGCGACGTCCTCGCGGGTTGGGCCGAAAGTGGTGCGGTCTACGCCCTGCGCGCGCGCCCCGAGAGCGAGTAATCTCGCACGCATTGTCATCATTATCATTATGCTTCTTCCTCCAACGCGCCGCCGCGCCCGCACTGCGCGCCTCTCTGTCTCTCCCAGGCGATCATGGGGGTCGCCGAACTCCCCGAGCCCGACGCTTGCGCCGTGTGCCTGACCCATCCCGACACGCGCGCGGCGCTGGACTCGTGTTCGCACGTCTTCTGCGTCCCGTGTCTCTCGCGTTGGGCCAAAGTGGAGACGCGGTGTCCGCTGTGTAAACTCAGGTTCACCGCGATGACGCCCACGGACGTTCGTTTGGACGCGCAGTGCGGTGACAGAGTGGAGTTTCGAGAGCGTAATCAGGGCGATCGAATCGCGATCGAGGAGGTCGAGAGCGATGACAGTGCGGAGCGGATATTCTGCGACGTCTGCCGAGCGGGACACGACGAGGAGGTGTTGCTGTTGTGCGAGGCGTGCGATGTTGGGGCGCACACGTATTGCGTCGGTTTAGAGTGCGTTCCCGTGGGAGCGTGGTACTGCGAGCTGTGTCGAGACACGGGAGGGATGGGGTCGGGGCGGTCGCGGTCGCGGGGCGAGACGACATCACGAGCGAGAGATATTTTAGTACGCGTCAACGGCGGTGAGCGCGCCGTGCGACGACGCGAGCGTCAAATGGATCGTGAGAGGAGAGAATCTCGAGCGAGACAGCGCGGGGAGATTCGTCGAAGGGGCGGTGGGGGTGAGCGAGCGGCGATGCGAAGTTGCGGCGGCGGCGGCGATGACGAGCGCGTGCGGCAAATCGCTCGTGTCCACGAGCTTCGCGAGGCTTGGTCTCGGTTGCAGAGCGGTCAAATGGAGTTTCCAGGCAATCGAAGTGAACAACGCGTGGAGATCCCGAGAGCGACCGTGCCAGCGGCGCCGAGTCGATTAGAGACGACTGTCGACAACGGACCGAAGGATGTTGTCGATGAAGCCTGGGGCACGCTCGAAAAGGCGATTCACATCGCGAGCGGTAAGCCAACGAAGAAGCGCTCGGCGGGAAAAGAAGCCGCAATCGATATCGCGTCGACATCGGCGCCGAAGGTGCGGAAGAGACCGGGTGTGTGCGTCCGCGTCGACGCGCTCTCTCCCGGTTGGTCGATGACGGCCAACGCGTGGAAGCGACCGTCCGAAGCCGAGCGCGCGGCGCCACCACCCGCGACTTCGCGAGACCATCCGTCGAAGTCGAAAACATCCCCACCACTGAAAATATCATCGCCGTCAAAGGAGACGAAATTCGCCGCCGCCGCGCGCGTGAAGGATGTTTTACGCCCACTGTACGCCGCCGGCCGAATCACGAGGGAGCGATACAAGGACGTCGCACGCGTCGCCGTCGAGCGCGTCATCGCCGCCGACGCCGCGACGGACACCGATACGATCACCAAAATAGTCAACGCGTGCATCACGATTAGAAATTAGCCCCTAGCTAGTCGACGACCGAAACGTCACATCCGGCGCGTCCCGCTCGTCTCCTCCCGCGCCGCGTCTCCACTGCGCCGCACTCCTCGACGCGTGAACGCGCGCTCCGTCTCGCGCCCATGGCGGACCAGGTACGAGCGACCGTTCAGCCCGTCCCTAAAGATAGCGTCGCATCGCGACGAGGACGTACACCGCGTCGAACGGCGAAGGAAGACACACGAGGCAACGCACCACTTGGATTTCTGACTGACTCGAAACTTTGAACGGTTGTGCACGCGCAGACGCGGGCGATCGCGCCGATACTGAAGCGATCTGATGAAATAGCTGTAGCGAGACCGAAAATTGCGTATTACTGTCGACTGTACGCCGTGATGAGCGGCATGAAGATTGAAAAGAGGAGTCCAGAGCTGAGCGAGACTTTGGACAAGGCGCTCGCGGAGCTGGAGCAGGCAAAAAAGACGCTTGGAAAGGAGTTGGACGAGACGAGGGATGAGATGGAGTGCGAAACGTTTGCATTACAGATTTTCGATAAGGCCGATCGCGCCGATCGCGCCGGATCTCGGGAGATGAATACAGCAAAGATGTATTACGCGGCGTCCATCTTCTTCAACGTGTTGCGACAGTTTGACGCAGATGGGGAGTTGGAGGGAGACATAGCGCAGAAACAGAGGTACGCGGAATGGAGAGCAGCAGAGATCACAAAGGCGGCGCGATCGGGGTCGACGGCACCGCCACCACCGGAGGACGAGGGAGAGGCGAGCGGCGCGGCGGCGATGGCGCCGCCTGCGCCTCAAGAGATGCCTCCGTCGCACTTTCCGTCACCACCGGGTGTGACGGCAAAGCCGCCACCACCGCCACCCGCGCCCTCGCCGGTTCGAGTTCCCGGGGGCGCGCCGCCGGGTGTGCGCCCGCCTCCCGTTGACATTGGAAGTGTGGCGGATGCGCAGAGATACGCAAAGGATGCGGTGAGCGCGTTGGGATTCGAAGATGTGCACACAGCAGTGGACGCTCTTACTCGCGCGCTCGAAATTCTGAAACCGATCGCGAAATAAATTTGACTGAACACGCGAATGTAAGATAAAAATGTGTTACGAGACGAGTGCTCACTTAAAGACGGCTTGGTCACCGAGCTCTTGGCCCGCGAGGCCTTCCTTACTCACCTTGACGAAGAAGTCCTTAAGAGTGTCCGTACCGTAGCTCGGCGTTGCGTCCGCGTCGTACTGCTCCTTGTCGTTCATGACGAGCATGGACTCAGCGGCGTAGTATCGGCCAATCTTCCCAAACTCCGCAGCGTCCTTCATGTTTGAGAAGAAACCGGCGAAGACGTCGAGCACCTTGATGACGACGTCCATGATTTCGATCGGTACCTTGACGAACTTCGGTTCCTTGTCGAGGATCTCGAAGAGCATCGTGCCTTGTTGAAGCGCCGACATGGCCTCGCCGGGGCCTCCGATGGGGAGCACCTTGTTCATCATGGATGGCTCGCGAATGGAATCCGCCATGAACTTGGCGAGATCGCTCTCGGAGATGGGCTTGCACGAAGCCAATTGACCGTCACCGAACATGACGTACGGGCCACCCTTCTGCACGACCTCGACTTGTCCAGCGAGCGACTTGAAGAATGCCGTCGGGCGCACGATGGAGTACGAAATGTCCCCGGCCTCTTGCAACTCTTGCTCAAACTTCAGCTTGGCCTTTTGGAACGTCAACAACGGCTTCTGCACGCAGATCGCGCTCAGCAACACGAAGTGCTTGCTCCCGTTCGCCCGAGCCGCGTCCAAAACGTTCTTCGTCGCCTGGTAATCGATGTCCCAAGAGTCCTTCACCCCGCCCGTGCGAGACGCCAGGCACGACACCACCACGTCGTACTTCTCCTCACCGAACGCGTCCCTCTCCACGCTCAACGCGTCCGACACATCGCCAAACTTCACCGTCGCGTTCGGAAACAACGCCCGCGCTTCGTCCGCGCCCGTCTTCCCACCGATGCCGCTCTTCTCGCGCGTGAAAGCCGTGACGTCGTATCCGCGCGCGCACAACTCACGCGTGACAAACTTTCCAATGTACCCCGTGGCGCCGACAACGAGCACCTTCACCTCACCGTTCTCTCTCCCCTCCAGCTCGACCGCGCTCGCCGCGCGCACCCGCGCCCGAGACGCGCGCGAGACCGATCGAACGTGATGATGACCTCGTCGCTGCGTTCGCGGCGTCACGCGCGCGCCTCCATCGAGTCGCCGAGACGCCATCTTCGTCGACATCGCGCGCGGCCGGGACGATCGTCCCGCGACGTCGGCGCGCGCGCGAGGCTCTGGCGACGCGCGCGAGGCGGTCCCGAGCGTCTTATCCATCGCGTGTACGTGCGCGTACGGTATTTCGTTAGTAGAGAGACGATGTGTGCGTCGCGCGAGACGGCGACGCGACGCGCCCGCGCGCGACGCCGCGGCGACGACGGGCGCGCGCGCGATGATGCTCCGAAGCGGTGCGCAGAGCGGAGAGACGGTACGACGGATGACGTCGGGGGTGCAGGATGAATCTGGAACGTCGAGGGCGAGGCGGCGGCGGCGGGGAGGCGAACGAACGACGACGACGACGACGACGACGACGACGATGGGAGACTGACGGCGCGCGTAACGATAGGAAGAGATGCGGTTACGGTCTGGACACGTCGTCGGCGTGAGCGGTGCGGCGAACCGAGCGCCGAGGACGGCGGCGGAGGCGCGGGCGATGTTGCTCGGCGGCGCGGCGTCGTCGACGAAGATGGCGGACGAGCACAGGCCGGTGTTTCGTCGAGGCGTCAAGGCGGTGTTTGATCGATGGACGGCGTTGCAATTGGCGATCGTGAACGCGTGGGGGGGGACGGAGAGCGAACAAAAGGCTCGGGACGCCGAGGAGGAGATCGCGGAGTGGTTCGCGTCGAAGAAATCCAAGGATGCGTTGGAGTTGGAGGACATGTTGATTGAGATCATGGGGGACGATTTCAACGTCACGTGTGAGGACGGGAGCGAGCGAGAGGTAGCGAACGCGCTGAGCACGATGTACGAGCAGTGCGCGGTCGGGAACTACGAGATGGTTACGCGCATCGAGTCGCTGCCGCTGCCGCGAGAGGCAATCGAACGGAGCAAACAAATTGAGGAGGACGAGCGATGGGCCATGAACGGAGGCGGGGACATGGAGCGAGGTGATAGTTCAAGCGATGGCGATGGAGACGACGAGATGGAGATCATGGGAGACGCGGACGATCTCGCGGATCAGCTTGGAGGCGCGTTCAACGTTCGCGAGGGCAGCGACGATTTCGAGGCGACAGCTCGGGCCAAGGCCCGAGCCGAACCTGACGATGACGGATGGTGCACTGTGCCCGCGCGACGACGATAATAAACCATTTGAATCGTGAAGATGCGCGGAAGTTTGATATAAGAAGGATTCGTTCGGATTGTTCCATCGTTGATTTTATTAAAATCGACGCTTGTCTAAATCGGTTCCTCAACAATGGACAGGATTTCCTCCTCGATGACCGTAGTCTCCACGAAATCCTTTCGCGAGTTTGCCTGGGTTTCGCCGACAACATCTGCTTCCGCAGCCTTGTAAGCCTGCGTCTCGCGGATCGCTTTCTTGCTCTCGAGCCAGTTTCGCCACTTCTCCTCCTTGATGCGCTTCTCGCTCGCAGCGCTGGAATCCGCTTCGTTCCGGATCTTCTCGTCGATCTCTTCGAACCTCTTGCTGTATTTCTTGATGTTCTTTTCGATATCGGCCTCTTGCTCGGGGGAGAGTAGACTCTTCCCGCGAGGACGCCACAAGAACTGGAAGAAGCGATCCTTGCCATACTTGTAGAGAAGCTTCCCGTTGAAAGTCCACATGTGGTAACCATTCTCCATCTGGTGAACGCTCGTCACCGCAGTGGTGACGAAGCGACCGGTAGGGTCCCATTCAACGTCAGTGGCCATGAAGTGCTCGACGGATGCCATGGTATCCATGGCGTCTACGTCGAAGAATTCGAACTGCCCATTCATCGTCTTCAAGCCAGCCAAAATGACGACGCGGCCATTCGGGCTCCAGAACAAGTGGTTAGCCGTCTTGTTCTTGATGGTACCGATAAGCGTGCAGTTGTTGTTGCCTTGTTTATCCTTCATGCTGTAGAAGGAGACGTCCGGACGCGCGCCGTCGCCGTGGATGATGGCGAAGCGATGACCCTTTGGCTCCCATGCAAACGCGACAATCTTTTCAGCCTTGTTCGGGAGTTCGAGAACTTCCATCGGGCAGTTCGGCTCGCGCAATCGGAACAGTTCGAAGCCGCTGTATGTGCTCTTTTTCGACTTGGTCGTGCGCAAAATCTTTGCCGCGAAGTAATCACCGCCAGATTGCCAGTGCATATTGACGCCGACGACGTTGAACAAGTTCTTGGAACGAACTTCCTGCTTACTCGGCAAGCCAATCAAGGAGAGACGCGCCGGGACGTTACCGCCGTTTTGTTCGGGCTGGAAGCACGATAGGATCGGATCCGCTGGAGACCAGCAGAAATCGACCACACCCGGAAGCTTGATGGACTTTTTGTCCACCAAGGTCATCTCCGGAGCTTCATACACGGAAATCGCTCCCGTGGCAATCTTGGCAAAGAAGGCGCCGCACTTGCCGTTACTCTGACCGGCCCACTTGAACACCGGCCAGGTCAAACCTTGTTGACCTTCCGCTATGAAATCACTAATCGGTCCCGTGAACGTGCGCAACTTGGCGCCCGAGCGCGTGTCGAAAAAGTTGACAAGCACTTGTGTGGTTTCACCCGCCTTACTCGGTTCGTGCGTCGAACCAGTGGCAAGAAAACGCTCGCACGGAGAGAATTCGATGAACTGGACGGCATTGTGCGCGTACTTGGCGATGCGACCGAACGATTCGCCCCCCCAAAGCGCGACTCCTTGTCTGTGCACCGTGGCCAAGAAACTCCCCTTCGGCGACCACTGCACGTACGACTCCGTCCAGTGCGTGCGCGTGTACACGTCCTCGCCCTTCTTCGTCTGCGGATCGTTCCAGAAAATTTCTGTCTCGTCACCGAATCTGCAGACAAACTGATCTCGACCTCGCTGGTCCATCATCCAAGCCTGGGTGTTCTCTCGTTTTGCGAACGGCTTGGGCGGCGGCGCGACGTACTCATCCGGCACCTTTTCGTACTTCTCAAAGTCATCAAACTTGCAAACCTTGAAGACGTGCTTCTTGTCCAACTGGTAGCCGTTCGTTTGATCCACCGCGCTCTGCGCTTGCTGCTCGTTCTCATACTCAATGAACGCGAAACCAAGCGACGTCTTCGAGTCGTCCTGCGGCATCAACAACCCGCCCTCTCGAATCGTTCCAATCTGACTGAAAATCTTCGTCAACACGCTCAGCAACTTCGCGTACTTCGCCTCGGCGATCATGGGTAGATTATCCACCACGATAACCGACGCGAATCCGCTCTCTTGCTTCAATTCCTCGATCTCCGCCTCCACGGGCTTGTCCAAACCCGCGCGCTCAAACTCGTCGCGCGGGAGCTCCACGGACTCCACGTCAACCTTGTTCCAATCCACGAATCCATCCTGCGCGCGTGAAACGTCCATCATCAACCTCTCCGTCAGTCTCTCCATCGTTCCCACCCCGTCGTCGTCGCGTTCGCGCATCACGCGTCTCCACCTCTCGAGAGTTGCGGCCGATCCCCTCGCCCTCGCGCCCTCTTCGCCCTCGTCCGTCCCGTCGCATCGCCCGTCGCGTCGCGCACCTCGTCCCGAGGGAAGTTTGAAGGGATCGCGTCCATCCCCGCCGTCGTTCGCGCGTCGACGACTCCCCCGTCGTCTCGCGCGTCGTCGTCGTCTCGTCCACGCTTTTGGGGTTTTGTGCATCGCGAGTCGGATACGTATGGGTTTTCGTTTTGCCGTGTCCAGAAAATTCCGCCCCGTCGCGCGCGCGCGTCGGACGTCACCGTAAAACGACGACGCGACGACGCGGTGATGTCCGACGCGCGCGCGAGAGGTTTGGTGGATTATTTGAACGCGTCGTGGACGCCGTATCACGCGGTGAAGACGTCGTGCGATGCGTTAATCGCGAATGGATTCACCGAGCTCGACGAACGCGAGGCGTGGTCGTTGACGCCCGGTGGAAGGTATTTTTACACCAGGAACGCGAGCGCGGTCGTGGCGTTCGCGATCGGTGGTGGGTACGGTCCGGGGGATGGGTTCGTCGTGATCGGGGCGCACACCGATTCGCCGTGTCCAAAGTTGAAGCCGACGTCGCGGAGCGAGAGCGGCGATTGCGTTCGCGTCGGCGTGCAGCCGTACGGCGGAGGTCTGTGGCACACGTGGTTTGATCGAGATTTAGGCGTCGCCGGACGCGTGGTGGTGCGTGATAAGACCTCCGGTCGGGTCTTACATCGATTGGTGCGGATTGATCGAGCCATCTGTCGGATCCCGACGCTCGCGATTCACTTGGACAGAGGCGTGAACACGGAGGGGATGAAGGTGAACTTTCAGCAGCACATGGCGCCCGTGTTGGCGACGAAGGCGAAGGCAGAGGGTGAGAAGAACGAGGACGAAGGCAAGGCGGCGACAGGGGGCCGGCACCACCCATTGCTGCTGCGGATGATCGCCGACGAGTTGAAGTGCGAACCGGAGGATATTGTCGATTTCGATTTGCAGCTATGCGATACGCAACCGAGTGCGATTGGAGGCGCGCAAAACGAATTCATCTACAGCGGTCGATTGGATAACTTAGCGAGCTGTTATACCTCGCTCCAGGCACTCCTGAATGCGTCGACGGACGACGCCTTGGCCGGGGCTTCGGGCGTGCGCATGATCATGCACTTTGACCACGAAGAGGTCGGGAGCGAGTCCACGAGCGGCGCCGCCGGGGCGATGACCACGGACGCAATCAAGCGCATCGCCGCCGCGCTGAATCCCAACGCAGTAGAAGGTTTGGATGAACGCACGCGCCGCGCATCGTTCTGCGTCAGCTCGGACATGGCGCACGCGTTGCATCCAAACTACACGGATCGACATGAACCGGCGCACACGCCGAAGCTTCATGGCGGGTTGGTGATCAAGCACAACGCCAATCAGCGCTACGCCACCGATGCTGTGACAGCTTTCATGTTCCGTGAGCTCGGTGAACGTGTGGGCGTCCCCGTCCAGGAGTTCGTGGTCAAGAGCGACATGGGGTGCGGCTCCACCATTGGTCCAATTTTTTCTACTCGCACCGGCATTCGCACCGTGGATGTCGGCGCCGCGCAGCTCTCGATGCACTCCATTCGCGAGGTTTGCGGTACCGACGACGTCGAACACGCCATCAAGCACTTCACATCCACCTTTATGAACTTCCTCGATCTCGATCGTACTTTCATCGTCGACGGCGCGGTCGGCACCTTGTGTCGCCCGTGCAACTTGTACGAATCAACCGACGTCTCGCCCGGCGCCGCTGATCGAATCGGCGACGACGATCGCACGTACGCCACGTGAACCCGTCGACGCTTTAAAACATCGCATCATTACTACACCGCTCGTTCTCTCCATCACTCTCGCCCGCGTCCCGCGCGCGCATCGAACGATCTCTTCCTTTACCTCTTTGGTGCCCGATTTCAAACGCGCGCGCGACAGCCAACGCGCGCGCGTCGATCCCCTCATCCCCCATCTCGCGTCACTCGCCCCGCGTCTTCATCCGCGCCCCTCCTGATGGGAGACACCGCGTGCGTGCTCGCCGAGCTCGTGCGTTGTCGCAGGGACGTCGCGCGATGTCGTGCCGACGGCGAGCACACGAAGGCGCTCGAGCTCTTGATTCGTCAGAGAGATTTACTTCAACGACAAGCCGAAAGATCGACCGCTGACGCGAAAGTGATCGCACCGATCGTGGAAAAGATCGATCGGGACATGGTGCGGGTTCGTGGGGAGATGCGAGGGGTGACGAACGCGGAGAACGGCGGGAAGAAGGGGGAGTTGACGAAGATCGTTGATTCCGAGAGCGCGCGCGGGGGAGCCGCGGAGACGCGAAGAGGGACGACGACGGCGACGACGGCGGCGACGACGACGACGGGGGCGGTAGAGGGTGATCGACGAAGCGTAGGCGCGGTGAAGAGCGCGGTGCCGGCGGTGAAGGCGACGACGACGGCGAGAGTGGTTGATTTCAAAGCCGTGGACGAGACCTTGGCAAAGTGCGCGAGCTGGGGACCGACTCCACCGCCGATCGTGGAGCTAGACGAGGACGAGGACGAGCTTGGACCGGTAGATTTAAATCGACAGTTCGGTGGCGTGGACGCGGGGAAGGGGCTGAAGAGGCAGAAACCGTTCGATCCGCCGGTTGTGAGGGAGAGAAAGAGTCCGTCACGAGGGAGGAAGAAGCAAAACGTGCGCGACGACGAGCCGGCTTCGAGGTGGGAAGGGGACCGCGACGCGGCGGTGAAGCCACCACCTAGCCGTTTCATGAGCGCTGGAGAGCGATTGGACCTGGAAAATGCGGCGAAGGGGTTGCCACCGGCGCATGCGCAGTATCGCGCGGCGAAGGAGGCGAATGGGGCGACTCGATCATACGGTGGTCGCGGTCGCGGTCGCGGTGGGTTCGTGCCTCCGTACGGCGGTGGCGCCGGCGGAGGTAATGGACAACGCATGAAACCGAATCAGACGGGAAACGACGATGAGGACGGGCCACCATTCAGCGAGGCCGTGATGCAAAAGCTATCGCCGAACGGTGAGCCAATATCTGAGGACATTCTCAAGCTTGACAGAGAAATCGTCGAACGTGTGGTGAGTGAGATTTTGGACAGACACGAGAGCGTGGATTGGGAAAGCATAGCAGGTCTCGAGCACCCCAAGGCGGCAGTACAAGAGCTCGCGGTGTGGCCCATGATGAACCCCGAGCTTTTTGTCGGAGCACGCGCCGTGCCAAAGGGCTTGCTTTTATTCGGACCGCCGGGCACCGGTAAGACGTTAATCGGTCGCGCTGTGGCAAGTCAGTGCGGTGCCACGTTCTTTTCCATCTCGGCATCGAGCTTGACGAGCAAGTGGATAGGCGAGGGTGAAAAAATGGTTCGCGCTCTGTTTGCCGTCGCTAGACATTTATCTCCGGCTGTGATTTTTGTGGATGAAATCGATTCCTTACTGTCCGCTCGTAAATCTGACGGCGAGCACGAAAGCTCTCGACGGATGAAGACGGAATTCTTGGTACAAATGGACGGCCTAGGAGGCGGTGAAAACGACAGACTTTTACTTATCGGGGCAACAAACAGGCCACAAGAGCTCGATGATGGTGCGCGTCGACGCATGCCAAAACAGCTCTACATCCCTCTACCGTGCGCCGCGGCGAGACGAGACATGATCCTTCGCACGCTCTCAGTGGGCAAAGGCGTCGCTCATAGCCTCACAGACGCCGATTTGGATATGATTTGCGAGAAAACCGAGGGATATTCTGGCTCTGACATGAAGCATCTCATTCAAGAGGCTG